TCTTCTCAACTGCTCATGTTGGAATGGAAATACTTTCCACACATTTTCTCACTTTGTGGCTATGTGCGCACTACTGCCAGAGCAGTTCTCTACACACTAGCGTTGGTAGGAGGAGCAGGGTTCATCCAATTGGAAGTCATCAATGGCCACAGTTACATCATCCATTTCTTGAAGCACTTGAGATCCCAGCATGACATTGCCAGATAATTCCTTCAGACTGTCCTGTGGTGGTTCCAACTATTTTCCGGTCTCTCCAAACCAGTTCTTGAATGTCCCTTGATTGCCCTTCCATACATTTCCCAGCAACTTTTTCCATGGTGTTCGAAGGTATCTGACTACTATAAAGGGCATAATTACCATCAATAAAACAGGATTGGTACCACCCCCCTGAAGTGGCGACCGTACAATTATGGACCTTGCCCTTGCCAGCATCCCTACAAATGTCCTCAAGATTCCTAAACGCCATGTGCACTCACTCCACCAGATCAACTCAGTTTGCCTGTATCTTAAGGTTCAACAGCTTAGCGAAATGTGTCTTCCTGGCACAAGTAAGCTGTCTCCCAGTATTTTCACCCAAGGGTGCCTAGCACAATACCATCCTTCCACTGCATATCCATATCAGCCCAAGCCAGAAAGGAAAAGCTGGCAGACCTTTGACAAATTGCTTTGCAGCATCTCCACCGGCCCTGTCTCAAACAGGATTTTGACAACTGCTTATTGGCTTGGCAATTGGCTTAGCCTATTTGTTTACTGATCTTTGCATATGAACTTTGCCAAGTCCAGGCAACTGGGAGTCCCATTCAGTGGCTCTAACTCACATAGGACCACCATGATCACCATGTGTCTCTGGTAAATTCCCTCCTGGCACCAACATCCCTGTGTTTACTTAGACAACCACAACTGATGGTTGTCAATAGGATCCAACCAGCGTCCGCCCTTTTCCAAATGTCAGAAATTCTCCCAATGAAGTTCCCTGCACATGGCTGGGCCTTCTACGCTGCCTGGTTCCATGGCAACACCAGCTCCTGAGATCAGTGCAGTTTGAAACTGACTTTTCACCGACCTTGGATATTGTATAGGCTTGGCCAGCAAATGTACGATAATATCAGGGATTTTTGGCCATCTAATTACCGAGTAACGACTCGTGGGATTAAAAATTATATATACACGCGCTCAGTACATCGAATTTTGAATCCCACGAAAATAGTTTTGCTCGCACGTGCAAAATAGTTTCACGCACGTGCAAAATAGTTTTGCGCACGTGCAAAATAGTTTTGCTTGCACGTGCACGCTGTAGCCCTGGTACAAGTCAAATTTTTAATCCCACGAGTCATTACACGGTAAAAAGATGGCCAAAAATCCCCGCACAGTACAAAAAACAYGTAGGGCAATAAGAGAGGTTCAACTCACTCAAACAGCCATAACTTTTCGCCCAACGGACGCTTAAGTATGATAAGCACATGGTTGAAAAGAGAATTGAAAGAGCTTTCTAAAGCCGTGCGCGAGTACGGCGTCCGACGAATATTCATAGATATTCATGTACGTATATCCGTATTCAAAAATGTCCGATATTTTCGGCCGGAAACGCGTGGCCCACGCTATACGATATTCACTTCTGGGATCCCTCTTCTCATGGTTTCTGATGGATCTGGCAAAGATGGTTGTATGTCCTTTGGCTGGTCTCTAGCCACTACAGCTGGGGATAGAATTGCCCACGCAAATGGCCCATGCTTTGRCATTGARAGTTCTCTTCAARCTGAGGCTACAGGCTTAWTATYRGCRAGTCTCTTTRTAACCCTGSTAGTTTYGCACCTACGCCACCACACCCATGAGAATAGCAACAATGACGCAAGTTCCTCTAGCTTCTCATTCTCTTCCAACACTTTTCTTATTTGCCCTACACGGGTTACTTTTGTCAGCAACAGCAAGGCACTCATCATTTGACTCCAATCCAGATGTGAATATACAGAAGTCTATGCTAATGCTACCCTAGCACCAGAATTTGACTTGATTGAACAGATTTTTCAAACCCTTCAGATTCCTTTCCTCACATACTCCTTTTCTTGGGTAAAAGGCCATCAGGATGACACCACTGACTTTGATGGCCTCCCTCTGACCGCCCAACTGAATGTCGAGGCTGATGGTTATGCTGGAGATTTCCAAGCCCAGATGACTACGCCAAATTTCATCACACCAGTTTTACCTTCTTGCCCAGCAGTTCTCCAGATCCAGTCTCCTTCCGGCACCAGCCAATATAAGAGAGCTCTCACAGATTCTTGTTTGATCCCCCAATATCACACTTATTTGAGAGATAGGAACCAGTGGCCCCGACAAGTTCTTGCTGATGTTGCCTGGAAGTCTCTGAGCATTGCCATCTGCCGTATCTCCAGGGACATCTTGGTCACTAAATGTTGCAACCATATCAGGATACTTGTTGTCTTTGCCAGTCGCCTGAAGATTCTGAGCATCTCTTTTGCTGTTCCCACCCATCACGCATTGGATGGCAAAGACAGACTATTGCCTCTCTGCAACAATGGATGTCCACACTTGGCTTCCAGCCAATTGCCATTGACACTCTTGCTAGCTGTCTTACCAAATGGCTGGGCACTGGCATTGTTTCTCCAGAGAAATATCCTGTATTGCTTCATCCAGTTATTCATTTCCAGAGTGAGATTGGTTGGGACCTCATGTTTGCCAGTCATATTTTGCTCCGGTGGTTTACTGATCTTGATCTTCATTCCAGCTCTTATTCCCCACTTGTCTTGGGGGGCTATGTTGTGGAGTTCTTCCTTATCTCATATATATCATTATGGGAGTAGCAAAATAAGGATCTCCATTGCTATACGCTTTCTTAGAAGGAAGCAAAGCATCGACAATGGGTGTTGATGAAAGTTTGGACTTTATTTGAACTGAAATCACAGACCTGTCTGTCTCACGCTCACCTATTCTCAGAGGATATTGAAACAATCTTATCAACTACACGTACCTCCATGCTCTCATATTACCTTCGAGTCTACAAGAAATCAATTCTGGCGAGTGTCACTCAAGCTATGGGTACTTCGGTCTCCAACACTTGCCCTATTACCCAGTACTTTATGCCAATGCCTCATAGTAAACAACCACCGGAGAGTGTCACACAAGATTCTCTGGTCTTTGATGCGTACTACTCCAAAAAGAAGTGACACAAACAACCTGTCGTGCCAAATACTTCTTTGGCTCCCCCTGCCAATTATTCCAGTTTACTCCAAACCAATTTAAATCAATTCTTCTAATTCACATCCACCAAAACCCCTTGGAGGGAAGTGTCGCCCCTCGGAGCAGCTAGAAGCATACTTTCTAACAAAAGCTATGGTTCTGGCCATATAGCGCCTCTTCTAGCTCACGAGGTTAAATATAATATTAAGATTTTGTTAAAGATAACTTACTTTTTCAGGTTCTGCTTTGTTGTTGTAGGTCAACTCTTCTAGTACTGGTGGCTTCTGTTGTTTTTCTTGCGGTCCACCGTGCTGCTCCTGCTCCTTCATTATTTGCTGCATCATCTGAAGCATCATTTGTTTGATGGGAAGAGCAGCTGGAATAGCATCACTGTTATTGTTGACGGCAGTGTCACTGTTATTGTCGCTAGCAGTGGCTGTGACTTTTKGAGAAGCTTTTTTTGTCCCTCTGGTTTCTGCCATCCTTGTTTGTGCAAGCTCTTGTTGGTGGTGTGTTGGTGCAGTTGTGTGGGAAGAAGATGAAGTATTAGCAGCAGCGTTGTTGTTCCCAATGTCGGGTCCGTCCTTTGCAACGACAGAAGTTTCCTTATCGCTGTCTAGTAGATAGCGATCATGATTATGCAGTCTTGGATACCTCATTCCCAAACATTAAGAAAGAAGATGAGCCTCTAATATGTGCAAAGTATATCATAGAACACACCATAGAAGGATCATGAAGAGCAAAACTGTCAATAAATGATTGGGCAACTAAGATAACAAAACAACATGGCAGTATGGTAAGACAATTGAAAAGAACTATGCCAGATGCCTTAAGTACCGTAAGACAAGTAGAGGCAAAAACAAACAGCCACGTGTCACAAAATCAAAAAATGCTTAAAAAGAGGACTAGTAGAGAAAAAATTGGAATTAGAATCCCAAATACATTCAAGGAATACAGTATCAAACTAGACCAAGAATCAAAGAACGCATTATGGCAAGATTCAATAAAGAAAGAAATGGATAATCTAGACTGATTACACTGTTTCAAGTATCATCCAGCGGACAAAGGATTCCCTGAAGATGAAGGATGGCAAGAAACCAAGTTAAAAATGATCAAGAGCAAGGACAAACGCTGCAAAAACAGACCTGTKGTTGAAGGACATCTAATTGATGTTGCTTCTGGGTACAATAGTACTTACTCAAGCCAAGTTAAATTTGTTTATTATTTGTTAACCCTTGGATCCTTCCTTTCATAACCTACTTGACCTTTGGGAAGCTAAGACTGCTATTGTCCTCAATAGCTTGCTGATTAGTGTTGCTGATACTGCTGCGGATAGGATAGGATTGTTGCTGGGGGAAAACTGTTACTGATTAGTGCTGCTGATAAGAAGTGTTTGGGAGTGTTGCTGATACTAGGAGTGTCCATGGGGTGGGGTGGGGGGGGGGGGTTTGCTTAGATGTTGGTTGTCGGAACGAGATGTGCATCTACCGGCATTATGGTAGCTTTGGCACATGACGGTAAGGACTTCTCTGCATGCAACAATTGACAATGAGTTGCCTTGTTGCTAGCAACATCACAGTATTTGGTTATTCAGGCAATCGTGTTCATCGAGAATATATCTCCGACGCATCAATGATTGTTACGAAGACAAAACATTCCATAGGAAAAATGGTGCAGTCAGAAAGATTGCATTTCATGACAGACTGCGGTTGGTGTGTCATGCTGCTGTGTTCTGGTTGTTTCTTCCACGGAACCACGATCGGGTGGCTTGGGTTCTATTTGTTCTATAAATCTACAACAGTATATAGCACTCCTAAAATTTATGCGGCACTGGAAAGGCATCCGGCACCGGGTGCCACGCACCGAACGGATGGATTCCGTGGGTGGGTGCGTGCCGGGGGATGCTTTGGTTCGGTTCGGTGCGATGCGATTCGATGCGATGCGATGCGGTTCGATGCGATGCGATCCAATGTCGTGTCGTGTTGCGTCGTGTTGTGTCGTGTTGCGTTGCGTCGCGTGCTTACGGGCCGCCGCCGAGGAACCGGTCCAAAAAGCCCGGGCCCGCTGGCTCCGGTGCGAGGGCGGCGTCCAGCTCCTCCTTGGTGGGCTGCCGGACGAACTTCTTCTGGTTGTTCTCGATGAGCCCCGCCTTTTTGAGGCGCATGGCCTGGGGGTTGGCGAGGAGCGTGAAGCCCCTCCCGTCCTCGTTCAGGATCAGCACCTGGCCGTCGAAGGGACCAAAGCTCGCCGACTGGATCGTCGTCCGGGCAGCAAGAAGCGCCACAGCGAATCGAGAGAGAGAGAGAGATAACGAGAGAGAGCGGCGTCTCGGTGAGCGCAAACCGGGGCGTCGGAACACCACGAACGGATACAGAGCGCACGGTTGGGTTGGGTTCTGCGTTGCTTTGCCGCGCTGCACCGTGCATTGCATTGCCTTGTCTTTTATTGGATCGCTAGCTACTTACCGAATCGTTGAGCAGGGTCCGCTGGTAGACGAGCAGCTCGTTCTTCTCGCTGTTTTCCTCCGACTGCTTCTTGAGCCGCTCGATGAGGACGTTCCCCTCGGTCGCTTCCGCGGTCCTTGCCTCGGTGTCCTTGCGCCTGACGAGTTCCGTCGGCTGGCGGAAGTACTTCTCGGCCTTGTCGTTGTCGTTGGAAGCCGTCCGGACCTCGGTCTTCTGGCAGGCCCCCAGGGGGCCCCGCTTCGTGCAGATCTCGAAGGACTCGCCGGTGGCGAGCGTCGGGGCCTCGGTCTCCCTCCCGTATTCGTCGGCGAGGGAGGCGGACGGGGCGCCTCCGAGGGCCAGCGGGAGGCAGACCCCCAGGGCCGCCCCGAGGAAGCCCCTCCGGCTCTCCCCTGGAAGGGGCGCGGCCGCTTCCTCCCAAGGGCCTAGGTCCGAAGGAAGCTTGGCCGGGAAGGACCGGGGGGTCGCGAGGCCGGAGGAGGCCGAGAGCCTTCCGAGGAGGAGAAGGGCAATCCCGGCGATTGCTCTGTGTTGGAAGCAGTGCGACACCATGCTTTGCTTGTTTTGTTTCGTCTCGGTCGGTTCGGTTCGGTTCGGTTCGGTCCGAATGCCCTCGATGGTCTTGCTAACTGTACATCGAACATGAACAGAAACATGAAACATCGAACACGAAACATCGAAAACCGAAACACTCCTTGAAGTAGGTACTGGTACATACGAGTACGTGCGCTAAGACCAAAAACGCAGCGTACGTAGGGTACGTACCGTACGATGTTGTCCATTGCACGGTACGGAACGAATACCGAAACCTACTGTAATGAGGTGGAGAAAGGACCGGAGTCCGTACAAATTTTACAGGGCGCTACGGAGGGAACAATACACCTCATTTGAATTCGCGCAACTTCCACCTGTCCCACTTACAGTAAAAAAAAGCTATTTCAGTCGACGAGATTTCTCATTCGGAGCGTTTTCGGCTCGCTTGGTGACAACCCAGAATTCAGATCTGCTGGATTGATTTGAATTACCGTAACCCCAACCCCAACCCCAAATGTCAAATTTGGTGGGCCCCTCCGCACGCCCCACGCCACAACACAGCCGTTGCGGAACTCGTACGGTATCGTACGGTTCGTTGTCGTACCGTACCAGGTACAGTACAGTACGTACCGTACGGTAGTACGAACGGTCCACTCCGAACTAGTTTCGTCGTTCCGTTGCGTCGACATCGACATCCACATCCACATCGATCTTGTATCTCCATCCGTCGCCGCTTCGTTCGTTCCATCGACACATCCACCGAGACACTGCTCGTCCCTGCCGACGAACGACCACCGGCGCGGTCTTTGTTCTTGTCTGTGTGTGGTTGTGTGCGTGGTTGCGTGTGTAGTTGCGTGTGTAGTTGTGTGCGTGGTTGTGGGCCCGGTGCGCCTGCGCTTGGATGGAAGGCCGCCCCGGAGAAAAGGACCGCAACCTCCTCCTCCTCCTGCGCCGTGCCGAGCGGTGCTTCCTGGGGGGCCAGCACGGCGCCGCGCTGTCCCTCGCCTCGGAATGCCTCGGCGCGCGCCGCCGGGAATCCGGGTCCCCGCCCTTGTCCGTGGTCGGGCCGATCGAGACGGGGATCGATATGGAGACGGAGATGGAGACAGGGACCAGGACGGAGACCGAGACGGAGACCAGGACCGAGGGCCACCGCGGCCACCGCGGCCACCGCGCCCCCCTCTGCCGCACCTTTTCCACGCTAGCCTTTTCCGTGGCCACCATCGGCACGCCATCGACGCCGGTCGACCGGTTGGCCGCCATTGGCCTCCAGAGCTGGCACGAGCTCTGCGGGGACCACCTGAACGAGCACCCTAACGAGCACCTGAACGAGCACCCTAACGAGAACCCTAACGAGCACCCTAACGAGAACCTCAACGAGCACCGCCACCGGGCCCTGCTGGAACCGATCCTCGGCCTCTTCCACCACGGCGGCGACGGATCCGGCGGCCACCACGCCCTCTCCCCCGAGCTCTTCGCGTCGGTCTGGGTCCCCTTTTGGGAGTCCCACGGGCGGGCCACCGAAGCGGTTCTGTGGACGGTCCGGGTCCTGGGGGAGTGGTCCCGGTCCCCCGGACCCGGCTCGGAAAGCTTCCGCCCCTTTGGGGTGTTGTGGGAGAGGTGCGTCTGCGTGCAGCTCCCGGAGGGGCTCTTCGGGGGGTCCGCCGGGTTGGCGAAGGCCGTCCTCGAGGCGATCACGCCCCCCGGAGGAACCACCGGCCGGGAAACGGGGGCCCTCGACCGGGTGCTGGCCGATCTGGAAGCGAGCCTCCGGGGCGGCGGCGACCATTGCGGCGACCCTTGCGGCGCACGGGACGGCCCGGCGATCGATGGCCTTGCCGATGGCCTCGGCGCCGTCCTCCGCGACACCGCCCGAGCCAGCGCCATTGCCGGTTTCGTCCCGGGGGAGGCCCTCGAGCGGGCCCTGGACCGCCTGGTCCGGCGCAAGACGCCAGGGGAGCCGCGGAAGGGACCCCCCCAAGCAAAGCCCCAAGCAAAGCCCCAAGCAAAGCCCCCGTTCCCCCCCCTCTCGCGGAAGGGGGGCCTCCCGGGCGCGCTGGCGGCCTGGCGCGTCCGCCTGCTGGGGGATGGCCCCGAACGGAAGGCCCGCCTCCGCCGCCTCCTCTTCCTCTGGGCGGTGGTCGCGGCGGTGCGGTGGAAGCAAACCGGCCGGGCCCGCCGGGCGAGGAAACCGTAATTCGATTCGATTCGATTCGATTCGATTCGATTCAATTCGATCGCGTTGCATCGCATCCCATCCAGCCACCACCCTTTGGTGCCTCCGCGTCCTTTCCCGTCACCCTGTGCCTTTCGCTGTGGTCTCGGATGGATGCCCGCGGAGGCCACAAAGGATTGCTGCGTGGATTCCATTCCATGCGCGCGCACCCAAACACACACCGGTACGCAACGCAACGCAACGGGTCGCCGTCGGGGCAACCGGGAGCCTTCTTTCCTTCTCCACCCGCAATGGTTCTCGCCGAAGGGTTCCCGCTTCCCGCTTCCCTCCCAGCGCACGAGATGATCTACCACAGCACAGTACCGTACTACAGTACATACATAAAAAACATAGAGTTTCGTTTCTTTTTCCACGCCACTGCTCGGTCTGCCAACACGCGACAAGAAAATCTTCCAAACAAAATGGGTTCGTCACCGAAACAGACAGAAAGACAACCAGGTGGTGTCGTATAGTATAGTATAGTATCGTATCCTATCGCATCGCATCGCATCAAATCTAATCAAATCAAATCAAATCTAACTAACAAACTAGCTACAAGTAGTTCTCGTGCCGAGAGGCGACGACGAGATCGGTGTCGTGCCACGGTTCGAGGGATCGGATGGTTTCCGACGCACCCGTCTCGGAACACCCGGGCACCGGACCGCACCGCGCAAAAGCGTCCGCTCCGCTCCGCGCCGCGCCGCGGCCTCACACCACCCACGCCACCAGCAGCAGTCCCGCGAGGGCCGGCGCCAGCGCCAGGGTCGGGCCCGGCGCCGCCGCCGCGCTTCCGCCGCAGGTGCTGCCCCCGTAGTACTTGTTCTTCGGGCAGGGCTCGCAGGAAGATCCGGACAGGGACGCCCGCCCGTGGCCGGCCGCGAAAAACCCAACCGGGCACAGAATCCCGTCGCACCGAAAGGAACGAACGTCCCCCCCGTTCCAGCCCTCGCTGGCGCACAGGGCCGCATCGATGCCTCCGATGCGGTTGTCCCGCAGGTAGATGGTCAGGTCCCGCACCCGGCTCAGGCTTCCCGGGAGGCTGCCGGTCAGCGCGTTGTCGGAGAGATCCACAAAGAGCTTCTCGTCCGGATCGACGCTTTCCAAAAAGTCGGACGGGAAAGAACCTTCGATGCCGTTGCCGGAAAGGTCGAGCGATCGGAGGTTTGGATGGCGGGAGAAAGACGGAAGGCTCCCCGTGAACCGGTTGTCCCCCAGGTGGATGGCACCGATCTTGCGAAGGGCAAAAAAGCCGGGGACCGTTCCGGTGAATCGATTGACCGCCCCACCAAAACTCTCGAGATTCACCAGGTTCTCCATCGAGGACGGTATCGGACCGGATAGTTGATTGAATCCAACATCGAGGTCCACCAGAGACAAGCCGTTCTGGATTCCGTCCAGAGATTGTAGCTTGGTGGACCCCAGCAGCAAACTCTCCAGCTTGCCGGCGTTCCCAATGCCTTCCAGGCTGATTTGAACGGGATTCGAGTACAACCAAAGGGATTTCAGGTTGGGAAGGTCAAAGATTTCGTTGGGCACAGATCCCACCAAGAAGTTACTACCGAGATGAACACTCTCGACGGTCGAGCCTTCCTTGCATTCTATACCAAACCATGAACAAACGTCAGAGCTGGGATCTGTCCATCCTTCGTTCTTCAACCAATCCTTTCCGTTGGTTGCCTGGAAGAATTTCGTCAGAATGTCCTTCTCCCGCTGTTTGTTGAGTGAAAGACAAGTAGTTACTCCGAGATAGGGGGAACTTTCATCCCCGGGACAGGGCTGGCAGGTGTCGTTCGAGCTTGTCTGTCGTCCGGATGCACTAAACGTCCCCGCAGGACACAAAATGCCGGCACACCCAAACCGTCCGACGTTCCCATCGTTCCATTCGGATAGATTGCACAAGCCGTCGGCAATGGCAGTAACAAGATTGCCCGTGACATCGATGTTGAGTTTTGAAAAACTCTGAAGAGCAGACGGCAGAGTTCCAACAAGGTGGTTCTCATCGAGACGAACCCTAACGACCTTATTCGTATCCGCGATTCCAGACATAAAGTCGGATGGAATTGTACCGGTCAATTGATTGTTGGACATCTGTAATTCTCTCAAGTTCGGCAAGTTTGCAAACGAAATCAAAGGCCCGGTTATTCCCGCAGTCTTCTTCTCGTTATTGTTCAAAAACAAACCCTCGAGTGCCCTCATTCCCATCCAACTCGTGGGCAGGGTACCAATCCATTCATTGTCAGAAATCTCGAGTTCCTTCAGGGCCTTCAGCTGGCCAAGTTGGTCCGGGAGCTCCCCACTGAGAGAATTTCTATCCAGAGCAATGCGTTGCAAGTTGGTCAACTGACCCACTTTTTTGCTCAAGGGACCTGACAACATAGAATCCGAAAGATTGATGTCGGTAAGGGTAGAGATGTCGAAAATTTCATCTGGGATCTTTTTTCCGCCAAATGCATTCTTGTACGCATGGAGGATTCGGAGCTTTTTGGCGCCACCAAGTCCGTCCATGTTCTTAATTAAAGTCTCATCTACGTATAGTTCCTTTAGCTCAGATGCCTGCCCTATGTCTTGGAAAGTTATTGAGACAGGGTTTTTCCTCACGTCGAGTTTCTCCAAGCCTTCGAGAAAAAATATTTTAGAAGGAACAACACCATTCAAGTTATTTTCGGCAAGGTTCAACTCTGAAACGCGAATTTCGCCAGATGGCCCTGTTGCACAAGTGACACCATACCAGTCACAGTATGGAATTTTGTCAGATTTCCATCCCTTCGAGGAAGTCCAGCTGCCGCCACCAGTTGCATCGTAGAGGTCAAAAAGAATCGATCGATTATCGAGGGAATCGGAAGATCCAGGGGCACACATCGTAGAGCCATACTTTCGTGCGGAACCTGAATACGTACAAGTTTGACAAGGATTCATCGAGTCAACTTGACGTCCATCGGTGTTGAACGTTCCAGGAGGGCAAAGAATAGCATCACAACTATTTGCAACCTCGCCACTCATCCATCCAACGTTCTTGCAAATTGCTTCTGGAACACTAGAGACTTCATTCCCGACAAGCAACAAGTTCAACTTTTCGAAGTTAGAAAGTTCTGTAGGAATTGAACCATCAATGTTGTTGAAACTCAAGTCCACGATAGTATCCACGTTTTTGTCGTGAACACCTTGCAGGAAACGCCTGGGTATTGTTCCAGTAAGACTATTGTGTTGAAGATAGAGCTCACGGATACGGGGAAATCCATCCAGTGCTGGAAGGGAACCGGACAATCCCCCAGCCGATGCAAAGGAGCTCGCAGATGGATCTGATTCGCCCTCTAAAGATAGAAATTGAAGCAACGGCAGCGACGTAATCTGTCTCGGTATCGACCCCTCCAACCTATTTCTACCAATTGACAAGTGTTCTAGTTGAGCCAGGTAACCAAGTTCAGTAGGAATTGTTCCCTCCAAGTCGTTTCCAAGCAAGTATAAGTCTTTGAGCTGTTTAAGTTGCCCAAACCCAGAAGACATTGTTCCCGAAAATTGATTATGACTGAGGAATAATCTTTCCAGGAGGGGTAAAGAAAATAGTTCCTCAGGAATCATACCTGTCAGTGCTGCACTTGTTAGATGTAATTCTTTCAGAGACTTCGCATTTCCAATACCCTCCAATGAGTTGGTCGAGGTGTACGACAGGATGATGGTCTCAAGATTGATAGCATTTGCTATCATGGCAAAAGGCAAAGAGATATCATTCTTCTGAAGATCAACATAAGTTAGTCCTTCTAGCTGCCATATGAGAGCAAATGGCATCGCTCCAACCAAATTATTATCCGGAAGTTCTATCCTTTTGACAAGACCCTTGAATTCACCACTGCTCCAACATGTGATACCTTCCCAGGTGCAGTGATCATCGCTTACGAGCCAATTGTTGGATGAAGTCCAGTCTGGGCCTCCAAAAGACCGATAGAGAACTTTGAGTGATTCATGCTCAAGGACCGATCCGCAGAATGTATTTCCAAGCTTTTGCATAGATAGCTGATCGTCACACGGAAAGCAGTCAACACCCGCCGTTTCACGACCAAATGCATTGAAGGTCCCTGCTGGACAAAGAATAGCGTCACATCCGTTTTCTGCCACATCACCATTATTCCAAACAGTTTGGCAAAGAGACTGAGGAATACTTTGGAAATTATTCGATGCTACGTACAAATTGAGCTGATTAATGTTTCCAAGCTGCGTTGGCAAAGTGCCCTGAAACCGATTGTATCGAAGATCCACAGTAACGAGATCATTCTTTCTGAGGTTGGATAGGAAAGTAGCAGGTATTTCACCTTCGAAATTGTTGTGTTGCAAGTAAAGTTCCGTAAGATCAGTTTGGTTTGAAAATGAAAGAAGACTCCCACCGAGTCCCCAACCAAGAGTATCTTGATCGGAAAGATCCAAATGTTTCAACGTTGTGATGCGCTCAAGATCAGATGGTAAGGATCCCGACAACGCATTTTGAGACAATTTCAAATACTGGAGATTCTGCATTGAGCCAAGCCAACCAGGAAGGGTTCCCGTGAAGCCGCATCCCGAGCAAGCAAAATAAGTCATTGAATTGAAAGATTGCAATTCACTCGGCATTTGTTGTTGGGAAAATGAGTTGCCAGATAGGGAGAGCACTTCAAGACGTGATAGATCAAAAACTTCACTTGGGAATGATGCAAAGTTGTTGTTATCGACCCGGAGAAGTTTAAGGTTGCCAGCTTGGCCAATGCCAAAAAGCGAGGTAAGCCCAGTGTCCTCAAGATCCAATAATTCTAGGTTTGCTGCATTTCTTATCCCATTAAATGTGAACATGATAGCGTTGCCTTGAAGATTCAGTTCTTGCAAATTTGGAAGTTGGTATATTTCGCTAGGGAGTTGATTGCTCAATCTGTTATAACTTAGATCGATCGAAGAAACTGACTTGGCACTAGTGGAATCACATTGAATACCTGTCCAGTTACAGATACTCTCATCTGGATCCAACCAACCTGTATTGTCAACCCAGTTAGGACCATCCATAGCATAGTATAGCTTTTCCAAGACTTCACGGTCTGATCCCTCTTGGACCTCACTTGAAGACAAACAATCAAAACTCCCAAGATATCCGTTTGTCCCAGTAGCGCATATTTGACAAATCTGCGCGTCACCGTTCTTACGACCGACGTCATTATAGGTGCCAATAGGACATAGTATTCCATCGCATTGAAATGATCCAACATCGCCGCTCATCCAACCAGACTTCTGACAAAGACCATCCGCAATACCACTCACGCGATTTCCAGCGGCATACAACGATAAGTTATCGAACTGAGTCAAAGACGCAGGGAGAGTACCGGTCAACACGTTTGACGTTAGGTCAATTTTGATTTGCTCGGCCTTGTTTTTTACTCCACCCAAGAAGTTATAAGGAATCGATCCGGTCAAACTATTGACGCCAAGATACATTTCTTCTATACGAGTAAACTTGTCGAAGGCTGGCAAGGGCCCCGTCAGCCCAATGCCGTCAAAACTGCTCTTTCCTTGATTTATTCCTATGTCCAGAGTTCCCAAGATACCACCTTCACGCTGAAGGGAGAGGAATCTCAAGTTTGTTAGGTCATTAAGCTCAATTGGAATTGTTCCTTCAAAATTATTTTCAGCCAAATTCAATTCTTCAAGATTAACTAGATCCCCAATTGTAGCAGGAATACGTCCAGTAAATTGATTGTGGTACAAGTGAAGGGATTCCAATGATTTCAATCCTCCAATGACATCTTTCAATGCGCCAGAGAATAAGTTGTATCCAAGGTCAAGCTTTTTGAGACTGGAGATACGATAGAGATCGTCAGGAACTGTGCCATCGAGATTGTTGTCTGCCAAGTTGAGAATTTGAAGGTTCAAACCATTCCCGATTCCTTCCAGGGTCTTTATATTGATCTTGTCGAGAAACAAATTAATCAATCTTGTTGCCTCGCCAATTGATTCAAAAGTTAACTCCACAGGATTCCCAGAAAGTCTGAGTTCACGAAGAAAATTCAGCTTGAACACAGATTGGGGAATTGTACCCTTCAAGTTGTTATTGGAAAGATTAATAACAGTAACACGCCCTGCTCCATCACACTCTACTCCGTGAAATCTATCGCAATAACTACTGGAATTTTCCCATCCATCTGCACTATCCCACTGATCACCTCCGGTAGCACTATAGATATCAAGAAGAATGTTCAACTCAGACGAGATATCTGTCGATCCTTTTCCACCACAATATGTTGCACCCATGCTTGCACTACCAGGGCAATCAATACAGCTAGAATTTTCGTCGGTCTTGTAACCAACATTGCTATATGTTCCTGCTGGACAGAGAATAGCATCGCATTGAAAATTCTTCACGGCACCATTCATCCAACCAGGTTTTGAGCAAAGGGATTCAGAAATCGCACTGATTTTGTTGCCAGTCAAATCAAGAAAGAGTTCATCAAAACGGGACCAACCATCCGGAATGGTGCCCTGGAATTTGTTGTCACTCAAGCCGACATAAATCCCGATTTGCAAACGCCTACTGTTAATCAAGAAGTTCGATGGGAGAGTTCCTGTCAAGGAGTTTGAATCCAAATGCAAAGATTGAAGCTGCTCCATGTTTGTAAAGGAGAGAAGAGGACCCCCGATTCCTACCCCGTTTCTTGTTACTTGTTGGAGATCCAAACTTCGCAGATTCGTCAGAGAGTTCAAAGACTTTGGGAGGGTACCCGTAAATTCATTTTCGGATGCCAAAAATTCCTCCAATTTCGCCAACAGTCCAATCTGTGTTGGCAGCTGGCCAGTCATCTGTGCACCATCGCATGCAAACCTCCTCAAGTTGGTCAAATCACCGAGACGAGAACTGAGAGTTCCAGAAAAATCATTGTAAGCCAAATCGATATCTTCCAACGAAGTCAACTGAAATATAGCCTCCGGGATCGCGCCCTTTAATCCATTTGAGGCCAGTGAAAAAAACTTTAAGTTTGGAAGGGATGATAAATCTTGAAGCGTATTCACGAATCGAAGACCCGTTGCCGTTAAATCAAGGGATTCAAGGTTGACAGCTTTGCTTACGCTAGTAAAGTCGACCTCGATTTGATTCGATTCCAAATTTAAGCTTTTCAGGCTTGCAAGGTCGAACAAATCTGATGGAACCATTCCACTGAGTCCATTGTTTCGAAGCGATATGGATGTGACACGTCTAGTAGACAAGTCACAGCCAATTCCATGCCACTCGCAAACTTCTTCGTCGAGTTCCATCCAATTTCGATCAACCTTCCAGTGACGCCCATCTAGAGCGTTGTAGAAATTCACCAAAATCTGCCGTTCCAGTTCCGTGGTAGAAATAGAAGATTTACATTGTGTGCGACCCCAAACAGAATTATTGTCGAAGCATGTCTGGCAACGCGAAGCAGAAGTAGCTCTGCCTTGAGATGCCCATGTTCCCGGGGGACACAAAAATGCCTGACATCCAAAACTGACGACGTCTCCGCTCATCCAATCCCTGATTCCTGTACAGGTATTTGTGGGTGCATCGTATATTTGACGAGGAACGTTGGTGATTTGGTTTCCTGCTAGATACAAACTCAGGAATCGTTTGTCTAGCAATGAAGGCGGGACTCGCCCAGTCAAAACATTCCCCCGCAAATCGACTTCCACCGCCTCTCCCGTAGGACTCTGCAGCAAAAAGTCGGAATCGAGGCTGCCATCGAGTCGTTGATTTTCCAGCTGTAATTTGGTTAATCTTCTGTGGCTGCGGAATGCAGGAATGGATCCGGCAATGCCTGGCCCCTTCACCGAATCCATGCTACCCACCGTGGGAATGCGCTGGATGGACAGGGTCCGTAAACTTGTCATTTGTTCCAACGCTTGCGCGGGCAATGTGCCTGCAAAGGCATTGTTTGTGAGGGTCAATATTTGAATTAGTGATAACTGTCCAAGTTCATTCGGTAGCTGCCCCGTCAGCTCGTTGTTTTTAAGAGTAAGTTCTTCCAGATTTGTCAGTTGCCCAATTCCCGCGGGTAAAGGTCCAGAAAATAGATTATCATTAGCATGTAAAACTTTCAAGCTCGGAAGGTTGAAGAGAGAAGCAGGAATCATTCCATCTAGCTTCATGTTCGATATGTGCAATACCTCCAATTTCTTTGCATTCCCAACACCTTCCAAATTGGATACTTGAGTGTTACTCAAGATAAGGAATCGCAAGAATTGAGCATCGCTTAACCCCTTGGATAGGTCGACACGAAGGTCTGGGTTTCCCTCAAAATTGACAGATTCGAGGTAAGGCAAGTCAAAAATGTTCTCGGGAAGTGTTCCACCCAGATTGTTGTCCCGCAAATCAATCTGCTCTATGTGCCCCTTGCGACTAGGATACGACGATCCATCGTAACAAGAAACACCCTTCCAATCGCAGACGTCGGTGCTGCCTTGCTGAATCCAGTTTGTTGAATCCGTCCAATCGGATCCCCCCGTGGCCGAGTACAAGTCGAGCAGGATTTTCCTGGAAGCTTCGGAAGAGGTGTCCGTGCGAGCAATCACGCTGTTGACCGTGTATTCGTTTGAGCTTGCGCCGGCGTCGCTCCAGAAATTCCCATCGCTCTGTGCGGTTGCAACCGGTTGGCGGCGTTGGCAACCCAGGGCAAAGACGACACCAATAAGAAATGCGGACGGCGTCGTCATTGTTTTACGCTTGCGGGTATGTTCCGTTTGAGCCGAGTAAGTTGTTTTCTATTGCCATACGCAATTTCTTCGTCTGTATCGATTATCGATTACACCAGCCAAAAACAACAGACAATTGCGAACTTTGGATGCTGCGTCTGCTGTAACGAATACGAACCCTGTGACTTGTTTCAGTTTTATTCCTCCTCTGATTTTTTTCGTGTGAATGCTGATTACGGTGCGGTTTCCGTTCCGTTCCGTACGGTAGGTACGGTACACTCGGAACGTTGAATTATGAATTACTGTATGGTCATATCGTTTACCTTCAGTACAGTAAGTGTAAAAGTACGTACCGTACAACTCCAGAGCAAAAAAGTAGAAGTACGACACTCCCAAAATTAACAAGGTTTGGCGTATCTCTTCACATACGGTAGGGTACTTTACTCGTACTTCCTGTATTTTTGTTCTGTTTTTTGTACAGTATCATTATTTACAGTAGTGTTCTCACAGCCGTACGGTATAGCACCGTACGGTCCTCATAGTACAAGAACTCGTAATGAACGTTCTTGCATTATTTTGTACTGCAGGTGCGTCCGTTTATCCATACGAGTTGCATTGGAGGGAGTATCATCCAATAGATGTTGAATCGTGGTGGTAAAAAAATGCATGTGTAACAATAAGGTCGTACCAGAACGAACGCAAATGTGTGGACAAAATCCGTAATAGGTTATGAGTACAATAAGACGCGCCAGTTTTTAGCAGTGAGCCCCTGTCTTTGCTTGCTTGTTATTGCTAGCAAAGGCCCAATCA